AACACCACTTTCCGTGGTGAACTCGAGTGAAAAAGTGCCGTAAGCTCGGACTTGGCTTCGGCCATTAGTATAAAGCGATTGTAATATTGCGATTAAATTCTCGGGCATTGCCTTCAGGGAAAGACAACGTCAGAGTTTAGAGCGATCGTTCTAGTCGAAAGTCGCTTTTAGATCGAGGAAGATAGAAATGGTAGATCTACGAAAGGAATGTCTATGTTCTAGAAGTTGACGAAGTGTGAAGATGTGGTCAATACAGCCTTGACCAGGTCTAAAGCCGGCCTGGTTCTCACGCGTACACCGTTCACGTGCGGCAGACAATCGACGGAGTATGATGCCAGCGAGAAGTTTAGAGACAATGCTGAATAAACTAATTTCTCTGTGGTTTTCCCTAGAGGATCTGTCACGTTTTTTTGTAAATCGGTATGATGACGGATTCCCACCATTCAGATGGGACCTCTTCCCTCTCCCACACCGAGTCCGGAAGTTTAGTCAACTCCGAAACTAACACTGAGCCTCAATCCGTTGACGCCGGTGCAAACAAGCTTTGGCGATAACGTATTTCTCGGGAAACCTCCATTTCAGATAGAGAACTGGCATCCACTGACAGTATTTGCCCAGTCAACGTGGATTGTGAAAGATCAAATGTCGATGGGGGGAGGGGGGTTGCAGTTGCATTGAGTCTTGAAATGTTCAGCCCAACTGTGAGGATGGCGTTGGTGATGATGAATCAGTCTGTCATCGGGTTCCCTAATTACCTCACGCCTGTTTTCTTAGGGCCATAATTCCTAATCAGACGGAAATGATTGTGACTATTACCACTAGCCACAGTCTTCTCCACCTCTTTACACTTACCTATCTACCACTACTCGCAGTCATCCCTTAGGCTTTTGAGGGATTTGCGAGCTGTCCTGTGTGGTATACTCCGGGGAGTAAAGCTGTATACTACGGAACGCGTCGTTAGGTCGGGAGAGAGGGAAGGTCCGTCAACTCGCGGCTAACCGTGAATAAAATGGGGTTAGGTCCCTCGAATAAGCGGTCATGGACAATCAGCCGCAGCCCTGAAGGATGTGATGGGTTTACCTCTCGGTAAGCGTTCTCCGCACAAAACACCACAAATATCTGTGTCGTGGCGAATGCGGCCCACCGCTTAATATGGCCATTACCCCTTGTTGAGATCCATTGCCCCACAAGGTTTTTCAGAAGAAGCGAATAAACCAAATGCTGGTCACTGGCTC